TGTAATGATTAGTCTGTAACTCAATAAATAATATTGATGCACAAGTTGTGTGGACTTGAATGTTTTTAAAGTGTATTTAGAGTAACATATGAAGTGTTTCTGACAATAAAAAGTAATGTCCTCATGAAGCAGATTGAAACAAAATATGGATCTTATTGAAAAGGACCTTTGGTGGCTGATGAATGCCAACAGCATTCATTCTGTATATGCTACCAGGCTTGATTATTAACAGACTACTGCCATAAAGCAGGAATGTTGCTGAGTGCAGTGTGGTACAACAAACAAACAATATTTTTGTATATGTTTTGTAATTACTTTAAACTTTGTTATGGTGTATTTTCATGTTGTCATTTTCAAAACTGAAGTTTCATGGCATTGAATGATTATTCATGACAGTTATAAAAGATGCATAATTAATTTCAAGTGACATTTCCTCGTGATCCACCACTTACCATTAAGTAGGTGGCATTTCTCAAACAGATAAATTATGCAGATAAGTGACATCCCTATCCCATTTATTTTTTATGTTAATTTTCTGTATAAAATACTGCATTCAGTTTTCAGTGATTCTTATTCTAGGTTGATAGAGGAAATGGGTTTCAGAAAGCTGGGTCACAATAATTTTGTGTCATGCCTAATAACTGTCATTGCCAAAGGGTAAAGCATCACAAGAAACTTCCACCTCAGAGCTGTGTATTATTAGTCTGTAGCCAAGTTGTACTTACCTGAGGAATCACTATATTTATTACAGTCACAGCATTAGTACAGAAGAAACAGACAGAACAGGGATAGAAATACTTATTTTTCTAAGTGTGCCTTAGGGCACCAGACAAATATTTTAGGTGTGCCTTTCAGAAATCAAGTATGCCCACATGTCTTTAGAATAAATGACAATGATGATGATCATTTGAAATTTATTGTTAAATAAAGAAATGGGTTTATAAGCATTCAAATATGTATGATATTATTCAGTTTGGAAAAAAATAATTGTTTTGGGGATTAAATGACTAAATGTGAGTTATGTGTCTAGAAAATTAGGCGTGTTACAGTGCTATCCAAGGCCAACAGCTTCACAAAATGCAACTGCTAATATATGGCAGGGTTCCAGATAATTTTTCAACATCAGGAGTACGTACTCCTTATTTGTTCAATTTTGAGTACTGGAAAACCTTAAGTGTACATTTAGAGTACTGAATGGAAGCTAATGGACTATCAGTAATCTTGTGTTTCATTTCATATATGCACCACAACATTGCTGCTCTAGTGTAAACAGGTCAATAAAACAATACTTTTTTTCAGATAAATACGTCTGTAAATGATTCTAAGACCGTACACCATCTGCTACGTTTTCTAAATTATTTCCTACCGTATCGTGCATATTTTTTATCCGTACATACGTACGCCGATGCGGCCCTTATCTGGAGCCCTGTATGGGGTATTTCGAACCCTGCAGAATGTTTCATGTTTATCACCAAGACAGAAGGATCTGTGAAAATACTTGAACTGCTGTTGATAATCTGGAATGTTTATTGAGGGGAACAGAGAAGTGACTGTGTTAGTCATTCCTCCATGTACTTCTGTGATGTGTATCGCCACAGCTGATCACAGATAAAGACTGTAATATATTCTTGTGGTTTACTGTGCTCAAGAGTTATGATTTAGGGGGCAATGGGGTAGCCTAGTGGTTATTAAAAGGTTTGCTCATCACACTGGAGTCCCGGGTTTGATTCCTCACATGGGTACATGTGTGAAGCCCATTTCTGGTGACCCCCGCCATGATATTGCTGGAATATTGCTAAAAGCGGCATAAAACCATACTTACACACTCTTAGACAGGCATGAAACCATACTCATCCAGTTATGATTTAAACACCAATTTTGAGTGTTTTTGTTTTTCGGCAATGGACAAGGGATAGATCATAAAATTATTAATTGATATATATATCAAGATGTAAAACTGAAAATGTACATTTGAAAAGAATTGAAGAAATATCATATTTTCATATTTTTTCGTATGTATGACTGCATGACAAAGGTTGATGTTATAAGCTGTTCAGTGAAGTAACATGACTAGCTCTGAACACAGTACGATATACCCAAAAAATAATCTAATATGTCATTTTATTCTGTTTAAATCCCACCTACCAACCAGTATTATTCACACATAAAATCAGAGACGCCTAAAATAAAGAAACGTCTGGCCAAATGATTGTTCGTGCCAGACTCTCCTTTCCTTGTACTGTTTACATTCATATTTGCCTACCCTCTCCATTGTAAGGCCTGAAACCTCTGTCAGTGTTACTGCAGGGGCAGCCATACAATAGCAGAGGAGGAAGTAGAGTACAGAACACACATGAACACTGTGACATGGATCAGAATTAGAACTATATAATTTCTACTACTAGTAATTCTTTTTGTTTGCACTGGATGAAAACAGAAAACAGATATATTTTTGTGATTGATATGTCTTTATGTTCTACATTTGTTTGTTTACATTTTACACTCTCTCTCTCTCTTTCTCTCTCTCTCTCTCTCTCTCTCTCTCTCTCTCTCTCTCTCTCTCTCTCCTCTCTCTCTCTCTCTCTCTCTCTCTCTCTCTCTCTCTCTCTCTCTCCTCTCTCCTCTCTCTCTCTCTCTCTCTCTCTCTCTCTCTCTCTCTCTCTCTCTCTTTTCAGTATCAGAGAAAGAGTGATCCACAGGGTATCAGAACCCAGAAATTATTATTCAGAATGGCATTGATAGATTTCTTGAAGAGTTCAGTATATTTACACCCTTGGGTCTAGTCTTTAGTGACTAGTGACTTAATTTGCATGTTCTTGTGCTAGCCCAAGTAGGTAACATCATGAACATGGAGCTTAAGTTCACTCTATTGACACATGTGTAATTAATGGTTAGTGTGACTTACCAGTAAAGAATGTAATGTGTACGTGAGGCAGGTTCCCAGTTGCTTGTTCAAGTGACAACTTATTTTCGTGAATAAGTACATTTATTAAAGCAATAGCAGTTATAGATTAGCATGGAAGGAAATGGAGAAAAAATGCAAAAGTTATGAAAATTGAGCAAAATTACCTGGTTCTTTTACAAATTTGCTCATATCTCCTATGTGTGTATTTTCCAGAAACATAATCTTAACATATTCTGAAAGCTTATTCATCATAGAGTTTGGGAATATATGTGTGGGTTTTCAGGCACAAATGTTTGTTATCACATTGAAACATGTTTACTATCTTGAAAACTGCACACAGCCATCTTGCATACACGTTACTGGCGGACAAGCATGCTATCTCTGTTACACATTATTCACTGAGGTGATGCATGTGTAATGTGTGATGCCTGTGTGAAAAAATGTGCAAAGGCGTACAGGTATAATACCACACAGTGTTGTTGTACTGTTGGTTTTATTAAAAATCTCAAGTAATTCAAAATTAATTATATGATTTGTCTTCTTATCTGGAGCACCGACATGATATCATTCTAAAGAGTGCCCAGTGTCCTGAAATTGCATCAGCAGAATATAAAAATTCATTTTCTACAAAGACATTATAATAATGCAATATATGAAGCTTAGATCAGTGATTTATCTAGACCTGCACCCAGGCAAAATTCAGCCCAAGCAACTAGCATCATAAATTTTCAAAATGGAATTTATAATTTCTGAATTTCTGATTATATATAAGGAGTAATTACTTTTAAGTCTCTTTAGAAATAGCCTGTATTACACTGATGATGGAACAAAAAGAAGTGTCAGTAATGCCTATGTTATTACATTGATTGCAATCTTGAGGTCAGAATCCTAGGTAAACCCCTGTAAACAAACATTGTCTTGGTAATGTTACAACATGACTAATCAAACATATACAGGGTATACTCTACAGGATATCATTTACACTGGGAGACCAAGAAGTTACTTTAGAGAAATGAATCCGATTTTATTTGACTGCAACTTGACAAGACTAAGCCTCAATTAATTTAAATCCACTGTGCCAGGAGGACCAGTGGCATTTCCTTGATGGCTACCACTTTTATCATTAGTTAAATTGTGACTCGACAGATAGGTTGAAATGACATTAAATGGCTAACTAGGAGTGTCCTTGACATTAATGGGGGGGACTATGTGGTGGTATGTTTCATCATGTGAAGATAGCACAACAGACATGAGATATTGCTTGTATGTAGGTAATTTAAATAGTATGGGCAGTAAAGTGACGTAAACAGGGGTATTTAAGGTGGGCTAGGTTTGAATATTATAAAATTTAGTTATTATGGCCTATAGATATACTGGTTGCCTGTAATATATGCATGGCACATGGTGTAGGCCTCGGCATAGTTTTATAAGTTTCTCTTTGTATGATTATTTGTGACCAACGCCTTTAGGATTTTAGGATACATCCTCAGTTGCTCATACTTGTCTCGCCTAAAAAAACATGTTGTGGTTCCGATTACCCGATAAATGTGTTATTAGTTTGCACTTGGCTTCTAAAAAAAAAATTACAAAAAAAAATCCTACCTGCCTACCCTAAATTTTAAAGGGGTGTAATCGGAACCACAACATTTTTTATTTGGCCTCATGTGATGATTAAATTTGAGGGCTGGTCAGATAATCTACCAACCTTATTGTTAAAGCATTTGCTTGTCCTATAGACTATCGCTTGGTCCCTGAATATATATAATTTTGTTAGTAACAAATAAACCCGTTTAAATTTAAAAGGAGCCCCAGTGAGTTTGGAGATTCAGGGGAACCTGGGAAAATCTAGACTTGCTTCATTAAGGGCTTTAGCCGTGCAGAGAGCGTTAGGCATTAGGGAAAATAGTGTGGTTCAGGGACTGTGAGACAGACTACTTGTCATACGGAAGACATGGATTCATTTCTCGACTTCAGTACCATGTGTGAAGACTGTTTCTGCCCTCACTCACTCACCCACCCACTCACTCACTCACTCACTCACCTACTCACCTACTTCAGTGTATTACCTACATATATGTTTTGCTCTCTGTTTCAGCCATTGGAATTGCTGTTTCCCACAGGTAAGCAAAGTCTTCTTTGTTGCTAGATGTAGTATGCATGGTACAGATGTGGATTATTGTTTTAACTTAATCACTTTGTATGTTTTAATGTTTTTAATGGGTGAGTGGTTTAAATGAAAATGCATATTTAATAAGGCAAACATATTTTACATTTTAACAATCTAAACATTGATGAATGCAGATGAAGTCAATATTAAAGAAATGTCCAGGGAATTGTCATTTCCTATTCGTCCTAGCTTGATGTTTTAGGGGGTTTAGTTTATTCCATTTTTCTGGAAGCTTCAAATAGTTGATCTAAGTAATTAAGAAAAACTAGACTAGGATTTCATTTTAATTTAATTGTACACAATATTCTTAGCTGACTATTGATTTGCATTCTGGTGGGGTCAACAATCTGGTACTGGTTGACATTGTCGCTGTGGAATCCATTATTCTGCCAGATGTTGCTATCGTGGAAATACCCCTGGGAAGATGCATTTAAGAATTGATCGTCAGAAGCCACTGGTTGTTGAATAGTGTGATAAACAGGATCTGGTGGTCAGACTCACTGACTTGGTAGATAGTCCCAAGATAGATGCTGATGATGTCAGTTACTGGATTGTCTGGTCCAAACTTGCCTGAAGTCTTCTAGCTTGACCATAGCTTAATGTTTTTCATAAGTGTCTAATTATTTTATTACTTATACAGGGATTGGGATAGAAAACTTTGACAATGGGTCATTTTGAGGATTATTAGCTATTTTCTGAATTTAGAATGGGCCACTGCCCTTGTATCAATAGTAAACTTCAAAATTTTAATGGGCCATTTTTTATTCTAATGTACAAAATGGCCCATGGCAGCTGCCTTTCCCAATCCTTGCTTATATTCCACATATTTGTATTTGTATGTAAGCAAAGAAAATCAATGAGATTAGTCTCAATGTTTTTAACTGAAAAAGGTCATATGTTTATATTGTAGGCAAAGTATTGCGCTGTGACTTCACTGTATCTAATTAGGCTTCATAGAAAATAGATAACAAATGGGTAGGCTTGAACGTGTTGAAAATATTTGCAGTTAAGGCAGGTAGCAAAAATAGATATTGCGACATGAGAAATAGTTGATAGGTCCTTTGACCTACTGATACATGTTTCTTTAGCTGATAGGAACAATGCATATGATTACAAACCTTCAACATTTTGTCGACAGTTTACCAGCTGCATTTATTGAATGTATTTTATCAATTTTCGGTTTAACAGCTATTTAGCACAACAGTATAAGTCCTGCCTGAAAATATAGTACCAAATATTGTCACTATGAAATCATATTTATATTCAGCCATTTCACTTGTTATCATTCTGAACTCAAGAATGCAAGTATTCATGTTCTTGGCAAAATAGAGCACATACCGGTATAATCATATATTAGCCAACCAGGCAAGATTAAAATGTTAAGTGGCAAACGTGCTAAACCATCAATAAAAACATCTACCCATGTGAACACTATCACCACCATCATGACAGTGCAGAGTGAGAGATTCAACTCGTCAGACAGGATCCTTGACACTAGGGACTGACAAGCCCCAGGCTGTTTACTACAGGAAAACAGTGACAACAATGATTAAGCTGAAACTGTTTATGTGCATGGCTTTCTTTCATTAAGAAAGAAGTATGATTTATGAATAATTGACAAGATGGACAAGTTTTGTGACGGTTTAGATATATTGCTTTTCCTTTCAATAATATTTGTCATCATTTGAAAAAGAGAAAAATATAATTAAAAGATCATCTGAAAATAATGTGTTGCTGATTTCACCTTGTGCTTGGTGTATGAATCTGCAGATAAACAATTTCCAATAAAACAAAACCCATATTTTGAAGAGCAGTGAAATTTATGTAAATACAACAGATTTGTCCATTTTTGTACTGAGTGACATGCCATAATTATACCCCGCTCTGAAAGTAGCGGGGGTATATAGCGTTCATTCTGTCCGTCCGTCCGATCCGTCCGTCCGTCAAAACTTTGTCAGACATATCTCTTAAAGTTTACATGCTAGGTTCACCAAACTTCACACACATAGTAATCATTACCCATTGATGTGCCTTTTGCTATTTTAAAGTTTTTTCAGAATTTAGTTTTTGCTGTTTCCATGGAAACATGATTTAGGCTGTGACTATGAGGATGTCATCTTGTCGGGACAGATCTTCCAAACTATACATGCTAGCTTCATCAAACTTGGTACACATATCAAGCATGATCCCTAGATGTGCCTTTTGGGGTTTAGATCCAGATATGAATTGTATTTTTGCTGTTTCCATGGAAACCACGACTTAGTGCCAAATGTGTTTGATTATTTTGTCCAGAGCATATCTCTTAAAGTTTACATGCTAGGTTCACCAAACTTCACACACATGTTAATCATTACCCATTGATGTGCCTTTTGCTATTTTAAAGTTTTTTCAAATTTAGTTTTTTTTGCTGTTTCCATGGAAACCACGACTTAGGCTGTGACTATGAGGATGTCATCTTGTCAGACAGATCTTCCAAACTATACATGCTAGCTTCATCAAACTTGGTACACATATCAAGCATGATCCTAGATGTGCCTTTTGGGGGTAGATCCAGATATGATTTGTATTTTTTGCTGTTTCCATGGAAACATGACTTAGTGCCAAATATGTTTGATTATTTTGTCCAGAGCATATCTCTTAAAGTTTACATGCTAGGTTCACCAAACTTCACACACATGTTAATCATTACCCATTGATGTGCCTTTTGCTATTTTAAAGTTTTTCAGAATTTAGTTTTTTGCTGTTTCCATGGAAACCACGACTTAGGCTGTGACTATGAGGGATGTCATCTTGTCGAACAGATCTTCCAAACTATACATGCTAGCTTCATCAAACTTGGTACACATATCAAGCATGATCCCTAGATGTGCCTTTTGGGGTTTACATCCAGATATGAATTGTATTTTTGCTGTTTCAATGGAAACATGACTTAGTGCCAAATGTGTTTGATTATTTTGTCCAGAGCATATCTCTTAAAGTTTACATGCTAGGTTCATGCTAGGTAAATGCAAAATGTATTTGATGGTGACCTGACCACGGCATATCATACAAACTATACATGCTAGGTTCACCAAACTTAATTTTTCCTTATCCTGACTCATGCTCTTTTTGCTTGTCTTCTTCTTCTTGCGAACATAGTGGAACACTTGTATCTCCCTAATTGAAGCTCCTTCAATTTAAAATCACTAATTAGTATTCACCACGAGTTACCTCCTTTCCACAAGCGGGGGAGCGAGAGCCACCTCTACCCATGTGCCTCACTCTCTCCTTCTTAGCCCAGTGAGCTGGGCGTGAGGCGCCTGTGTCTCCGACACACTATATCCTTTGAATTATATTTAGTTAGTTACCTCGTATAGACATCTATAGAGGTTTAGCTAGTATCCTTCAGCGATTATATATTGATATTTAGTCGTTTTCTACAGTTTATTCACGGGGCCGTGTTTGTTTGTTTCAGTGGATTCGTTGATGAAAATTCTGTACTATTGCAGATTCGTTTTTATGCTGCTGCTGATCCGCCTTTAATATGATGTGCGGTAGCCATGTTTATTATATTCACATTGCAGTTCGCGGTACTAATTTATCAATTCTACCTTTTTATTAATATTTACTTTGCGTTTGTACGCGCACAGCAGATAGATTGGCGTATGCAGAGTCTAGTATGACTGATACACGGAACCCTCGCCAGTCTACTGCTGTTGGCCGACTCCCCTCCGTGTGGTGTTCGCTAGAGTGGTGGAGAGGTGTGGGGCGTAGTCCGCCATCTCAAAGAAGCATCCTGCTTCCCCAGACATCCCATCGTCGCAGCAGAAGACTAGAGGTTTTCTACTACATCTCAACAACGAGACCGTTCCCATCGAAGTTTTGGGCCTGTATGATGATCAGCCGGTCATCATACGGATGTACATCAAAGATTGACCCGATGTCGGCACAGATCAGCATGCAGCCTGATGTACCAAGCGCAGATATCGCGATGATGCGTCCTGAGGGTCCCATCATTACCAACACTCAGCGCGCAGGCGTCGCGCACAGGGCAGCGTCGACCTCTGAGGAAAATCAGCGAAGTCTACTAGGACTTTCTCAGCGAGATTGTTCCAGCCGATGACCTGGACCTCTCGATGATCAGCTGATCATCATCCCGGCGTCATATACAAGAAGCGACCGGTGACAGCTACAGCGACATCAGCAGAGATCACCATGCAGCCTGATGCCTCTACACTGATGTCGGACGATTTTCGGTGGACCCCTCCATTAACACGCCAGATAAAGCACCGGCGACCTGCGTCGCAGACCATCCAGAAGACATGATCGACAAATTATGAACATCATGGAGGACCAATATCTCGCGGTAGCAGGGTCGAGCCAGCGAAGGCTCCAACGTGAACAACACCCAGAGGCACCCCGTCAGCGTAGCAGCCAGGGCGATGTCACCTTGCGAAGGAAGTCCGCGGACCACCTTGGCGAAGGACCTAGATGTACAGCCTTAGCGAAGGCCTTAGCGAAGCGGAAAGGACCTAGATGTACAGCCTTGGCGGAAAAAGAACCTAGATGTACAGCCTTGAAGGACTTGAAGGCAGGATAGATCATCACCTTATGCGGTTTCATCCCTAGATGTGGACTCGGACCATCAGACATCCGCGGAAGCCTTGCGAAGGTCATATCGTCGTTCCCCGGACGGGGCGCAGAGGAAGCTTCGGCGAAGGCATCTTGTGAAGACACCTGAATCAGATCATCATCATCTAGAAGGACATCGAGGGACTATACAAGAGCTTGCGAAACTATCAGCGTTCCCCTCACAAGTCTCGAGAAGATCAACCCATAGACAAGTTGATCATCGATATCAAATATAAGAACTACAATGCGTATATTGGTTCTGTTGAATCCATGGCGAGGCGTATGTTAAGCTGGCCTAAATAGATCTAGAGCGATCAATTAGACACTTATCACCAGACTTAA